GCTAATCCGCGTTTCCGCGCTCCATGTAATGGCACCCTAACGAAAACTGCAGAATGCTTGCGATTGGTTCCATTCTCGTTCCGCGTTACGCATTACGCTAATCCGCGTTTCCGCGCTCCATGTAATGGCACCCTGATACGGGTTATGGGCTTTAGCGACTTTTAATTGGCATGAAAATTTTAGGAAATTTAAGGATTAACAAGTGCGAAAAATTTAATGTATTGTATTTTTATTAAACATGATATTCTACACAATCTATACATTCTACACAAAATAAAAAAGGTTATTCTCGTCAACAATAGCTTATTTTCTCGGCTGTCGGGAGAAATGCGCGATTGCACATGCGCGAGAGAGGAAAGTATCTTATTATCTTGGCACTCAGTAAGATAGATAAAGCTCTATCTATATGTAATATATCTATGCTATGATCTACTGGATCCGTCATCCGTCATCCATCGTCCGTACATTACTATTACTCCGCGAGTTGGTGTGGTCGAAAGGAAAAACCATACATACATTTTCAGTCTTGAAATTGCTTGGGTATGTGTCCGAGTCGAGTGATATCATTCGTACAAATGTTGGGAAAGTTGTTGAAATATGTTTTTTTTGCAAGTGTGAAATCACGTCGATCCTAACCTCCGCAGAAGACACGCGCCACAGATCCTTATCGTACAATTTTACGCGCACGCGGATCCTGGTGATGTAGCCGGCCGGTTTGATAGCCGTTTGACAGCTCGATTCTCGTCGCACGATTTTATCTATTTTTCTTGCGGTATATCTTACTTCCTCGCTCTCGAGTGTCTCCTCGATCATTTTTCCATCCATGTCGGGCTTTTTGTTTACTATTGTGCCACTTTGAGGTTAGATCGTCGCTATTCGTGTGTATGATTGATGACGACATTAATCCTTTGTGTGCTTATGAGACTTACTAATAAAATATTTCTCTTCGACATGTTAAAAAGTCAAAGTTATCGACAAAGTCTATGTTGTTTGTTTTAGGGCTATAATTTGCCCATATTTTAGTCAGATGGAATATATCCGCACATTGCTTTTGTTAGAATGTACATATTGAAATTTTAATTGGAACATTTTTTTTTTATTAGTAGAAATTTTTATTGTGTTTTTTTCTTAGAGAAATGCGTGTATATTATACAATTAATTTTCGCGCGCGCGCACATACACACACACATATACATATATCTTTTTGTAAGAAATAAAGATTTTTCCATTGGATTAATTACGTTTTTATCAGATTTTTATATATTATTAAAGCTTTATTTATACATTAATTTATATAATATTTATATACATTAATTTTATATATATACACTACCGCTCAAAAGTATTTGCCCTCCATCGGTTTCGTGGATAATTTTTATATAAAAGTCTTAACTGGCACTTTACCTATATTTACTCTATGTACACATGTATTGTCGCTATATAAGGCAGTATTTTGAAATAATATTTTGATTATCACTAATATATAAATAGAAAACATCATAAAACACCAGCAGCTCATTCCTTGGAATTCGCCTAGAGACAAAATTCGCCCGAACTTCCATTGTTTATTCGGTCTGTGCCATGTCATAATAAGCATTTGTAATATTCTTCAATTATGTGTTAACATTTTGCTTTTCATTTTTGCTTTGTAACGCTATAATCAAAAACAAAGGTGGACATATAGATGGAGGAAAAATGTAGTTTTAAGCATTACTGTGCATACATATTTTTGGTAATTAGATACGTAAACATAAATAAATACTTTTCACATAATTACTACATTGTTTTAATTGTTTGTAACATTTATAGAATGATTGTTTTAGATGGGCAAATACTTTTGAGCGGTAGTGTATATATACATATATTATAGAATTTTCAATAAATCTTGTTATACAATGAGATCTCATTGCAACATACAAAACTCTTTAAAGTAAAATTTAAAATACATAGAATTTAATAAAACTTGTTATATGATGAGATCTCACTGCAATAAAAATCTTTAAAGTAGAATTATAAATATGTTGATATTTACAGATAAATAATGGCAAATGCAGAATCGCTTGCAGAAGTAACTGACGTTGTACAAATTCTTCGACAATGGGAAGAAGAGCATAATTCACCAATGTATGACCCTATTCCTGTTCTTCAGAGATTAGCAGATATAATAGAACTTGAGACAGAGAATTATATGAAGATGGATCCAGATCCGTTTGATGAAAGGCATCCCTCGCGCACTGATCCAGAATGTAATTTTGGACATATATTAAAAGTTTTATTCAGAAAGGATAACTTTATGACAAAGGTAATTGCTTTTTTATATATGAACTAACATTTATAAGTATTTTTGAATTACTTTATCGAGTCATGTAATAATTTATTTCATTTTTGGTAAAATGGATGAAATATAAAATAAAATAAAAACTTATTATCATCAACAATTATTTATGTAATAAGATTAATCTTATTAATTATATGCAACTTAGACACAAGATTAGTAATAATATATTTATTGTCCCCATTATAAATACTTTAAACTTTTGATTTTTTTTTTACCATATCAATGTTTTAATAACATATTTGTTTGCAGTTAATAAATGACTATTTGAGGGACACATACTGGTCTCGTGCAGGGATAACTGGAAGAGATGTTAGAAAGCTGAATATCGCCGCTTGCCGTTTGATGCTAGACATACTTCCAGGATTAGAAACATCAGCTGTATTTCAACCAGATATGGAGGGCCTTATACACAGATTATTCTCTTGGTCGGAGAAAAGTGTCGAACCGTTACAGAGCTACTCAACTGGTCTTTTGGCAGCTGCCATGGAAGTGCAAGACATTGCTACAGGATTTAGAGATCAGAACGCTAAGATGGTACCATTGATGCTGCAACGGTTGCACAAGTTACAGCAGAAAGCGCATGAAGATCGCCAGCAGAAAGCGCACGAAGATCATCAGAAGAATGCCAGACCGTTTGCTCATTTCGGACAAGATAGGAACAGCATTGTCGATCTCGAGGATAAAGCCATCCCTGGGAAACACAAAGCGCGAGAAAAGTGGCGGAAGAACGGAATCGTAAAGAAGCAAGAGCTTTCTTCCGACGAGGATGACTCCACGCACGATGATATGCCAGTCATAAAAAAGAAAAGAAGCAATTCGGGTTGCGAAACGCCTGTGAAAAATAGTGATTTATATCCCGAGATCATGTCCCCGCCTCTGTCTGTTCCGAAAACTACGAACAATTCTGTTAACTCGGGGGTGACACCATCCAAACAGAGTGGTTTGCAATTCACAAGGATCGCAAACGTACCGGCGTCTGTCAGATGCAATTTGCAAAAATTATGTAATTCGTTTCAGAATTCCAGCACATTGCTGGAAGGGAACTCGAATTCATCCTGGGCCGAAATGGAATCGTACGTCATCGGTAATGTTCAGATGTATCCTCCTACTCTAGCGACTCGACAGATGTTGATCCTACGCTACTTGACACCTATGGGAGAATATCAGGAATTCCTAGGTCATGTATTCGAACATAGCGCTCTGGACTTGATATTGAAATATATTAATGTACGAGAGACCAAAGATAGCAGACTTGCTTTCGAAGCTCTTAAATATCTCGCGTCCCTGCTGTGTCATAAGAAGTTTTCGATTGAGTTTCTCAACGTCGGCGGCTTACAACGGCTGTTAGACGTGCCGAGACCGAGTGTTGCAGCAACAGGTGTGTCTATATGTCTGTATTATCTTGCGTACTGCGAAGACGCTATGGAACGAGTGTGTTTATTGCCAAAACACATAATATCCGATCTTGTAACTTATGCATTGTGGTTACTGGAACGCAGTCACGATTCCGGACGATGTCATGCGACTATGTTCTTTGGTTTTTCTTTTCCATTCAAAGTCATATTGGAAGAGTTTGATGCACAGGATGGCTTGAGAAAATTATTTAATGTGGTAAGAAAAATATATATTATCAACCAGTATTTACGCTTATTATAAAATGAACTCTGCATTATTTTTTTCTGTATTTTATTTAAAAGAAGAATATCAAATTTTATTGTAAAAAAGATAATATATAAAAATAGATCTAAAAATATTGTTCTTTGTATGACAAAAGATAAAATACATTTAAATTTTGTAGATATCTACATTACCAATCTTAAATGTTGAAGAAGAATCAACTATAAATGACGATGAGGAATGTGCATCGAGGCAGATTGTGCGACATGTGGCTGTTGCTTTGAAAAGGTACATGGAAGCGCATTTGCACATGAAAGCAGAACAATTACAACGGGCAGAAAACGTTAGGGCTGAACGCGATACATGGCAGCCTTCGTTACCGCCTTATAAGGTAAAATATTTTATGTAATTATGCATTTTTAAAATTTTAATTACACGATAATTAATCACATTAATATCTCTCCTATATTTGCTTTTTAATTGTTGACATGTTTGAACATCTTATATAAAAATCTGTATGTATATGAAGTATACATATGGGTATAATAATGTCCGTATAATATATTGGGTCTAACATCAAATTCATTATATATCAGTCTATGTCTGAAACTTGATTCACATAAATTTTTATTTTTAATAACTGTTTGATAAACAATGAATGCTAAAACAATTAAAACAACATATGTCAAGATCATTTGCGAGTATTTTACACTATTGAATATTTATCTATTCTTGAAATGTCTATTCTAGGCTTGCAAACTTAGCAGCGAAGAAGTTCAAGCAAAGGTAGAGCTTCTTCAAGAATTAATGTCAGTCAGAGCAGTATGGCCGCCAGTGGAAGAACTTCATCGTTTGGGTGGTATTACATTGCTTTTGCAAATTATAGCTTTTGCTCGTGAATGGAATTACAGCGGACGGTAAGATGTATACACAACACATGTACATGAAAAAAAAATTTGGCAAATTATTTTTCTAATTTATAGAATCTTTTATATTGTAATCAGTGTACACAATTATTTTGTTAGGATTTCTAAATGATCGATTATTTTTAGGGTACATGCCACATCTAGTGCAGAGACAGTTCGATCGTGTTTGGACGTAATCGCAATTTGTTCTGTTGTGCCGAAAGTTATGTTGCTGCTATGCGAAAGAGTCGATATGCCGGACATGTCAATGACAATGGCAATTAATCTCTTGCTAGCTGCAGCTGAATGTGAAATTATTGCAGATGCTGATGTACAGAGAGCAGCGCTTAGAGCTGTAATTAATTGTGTATGTGCTCCCATAAACAGAGTACGTTTTTCCTTCGACATTTTTCTTTTATATTTTATTTATACTTTTATGCTAATGAACTAATATTTGGTAACTATTTCAAGGTCGGAGGAAATGTAGCCAGATATTCCATAACTGGGTCTGCTAAGAAAAAAGCAAACATGCACAACAGTGAAGAACTAATACAGAAAGTATGGGAAAGCGTTAGGTCAAACAATGGAATAATGGTATATTTGTGTGTGTATATGTATGTAATTATGTTTTATTTCAATTGCATAATTTATATAAAATCGTTTTTGCGAAAGGTATTATTGCAATTAATGATGGTGAAAACGCCTATCACCGATGCCGACAGCATAAGAGCGTTAGCGTGTCGTGCGTTAGCTGGATTAGCACGTAGTGAAAAAGTTAGGCAGATTATTAGCAAGCTACCAATGTTCACAAATGGCCAAATTCAGTCACTTATGAAAGATCCTATTTTACAAGAGAAACGACAGGAACATGTCACCTTTCAAAAATATGCTCTCGAATTAATGGAAAGAGTTTCTGGTAAAGCAAAACCAACAGGTGCAGAATATGAAATTTCCTTAGTTAGTTTACACAGGGTAAGCTACTTTCAATTTACCAAGAAATTTCGAATAATCTTTTTATTTATTTATTTATTTAAATGAGTTCTATGATAATTTGAACGAGAGAGGAAAGAAATGAAAAATTATATATGTGTTTCTTGAATGGCAGTACAAACGGATCAAACGTTCGGAAATGCGAAGCGAGTCTCGAAACTTAATTGTTTGACCGTGTATTTATATAATATAAAATATAATTATTTTGGATTGCTAGGATTAGGTAATCAATATACTTTAATTATTATTGTAGGCCACATAAGTGCCCAGATCCATGTACAAAAAATTCTTCACCTACAAATGTAACAGTGAGATTAGCAAGACGAGCATTAGGAATGGATAGTAGAACATTAGATAGAAAATACATTTACAGCCGTTTCTGTCCTGTAAAAACTTTTCGGCCTACTGACGTAGGAGGAATATTCACTTGTTGTACTTTCTCGGTAAATTTTGACTTATTCTAAATCAAAGCAGAGATTTGGTTACAATTTTGGGCCCGATTTCATAGTTGATGCATATGGAACAACTGTATTGCACAAGTGCAATAGGATCATACTTTTTTAGTAACGCCGCAAAGGTCCTTATTAACATTTTTTTTTCTTTTCAAGTATTTTGTATTTTATTAATAATCAAAACTGTTTAATAGCGAATCGAAAGCTTTGAATAAAATATACAAGAATTTGTTAATTATTGCAGAAAACATAAGAATAAAAAGAAATATAAATTTAATTATTAATAAAGTGTAAAATATTTAAAAGAGAAAAATCTTTAAAGAAAGCTTTTACGGCACTACTAGGGAAGCACGATTCTAATGTACTTGTGATACGATCGTTTTTAGGACTGAATTGTTGCTAAGGTATTAGCGGCAAGGAAAGGAAGGTCGTTAATCACGAAATCGGGATTTAAAGTTGTTAAACTTAATTCTAGTTCTGTATCTAAATCAAATCAAATTTTACTACTTTATATATATTTTTTTAATTGTGTGTATCTTTGAATGCAGCCTTGTACACAATAAATCATTTTGGGCACCCATGCTGGAGACATCAAAATGTTCAATATTCATACAGGCATGGAGGAGGCAACTTATCAATGTCATGAATCATATGTATATCATATGGAATGTAATCAACGTGGTAATCTTTTATTGACATCAACTGCTTGGAGAAGTCCTATGTCAGCACTCTGGGACATAGGAGCGTTTTTCGAAATGAAATTAGCTTTAGAGAATGAAGATTATGTTGAGTTCGGAAAATTGCAAGATAGAATAATTGGCACGCAAGGAGAAAGCGCGACGGTAAATATTAAATCTGCTAATTATATATAATATATACATATATGTATACATATATACATATACATATATACATATACATATACATATATACATATACATATATACATATACATATAAAAAATACATTGTAAATAATTTTCTTAAAAACAATTATTTTTTTATACTAATTGATTTCTCATTGTTCTGTACATAAAAGTATTACGGTAAAATTATCGAAAACTAAATATTTTACGAGATATTTTATTTTTTATATCAAAATATGTCAGATTAAGATATAAAATAACTCAGAAAGTACTTAATGGTACTTAATGAAAAAATACTTTATTATAGTGTTTTGAAAAGATAAGATAATTCTCGAGATAAGCTACAAGAATATGCAATAAAAAATGGGGAGTTTCATTTAAGAAAACATCGATTACATTGACTTGGCCTTGAAAAGGTCATTCAAGGTCAAGTCCATATTTTCATCATGTGTACCCCTGTGAATCATACAACTTTTGTCTAAAACATTTTTGTCAAACTTATAGATTTTAAGATATTACAGTGGATACATTAAAATGGCCTACCCTGTATATACTATTGACATTTAACTGCTTATTAATTGTCTTGCACAATGGTTTTTATATATTGAACTTTACAATTACATTATATCTTGAACAAAAATCTTAATAAGATTCCATACATTTCACATATCTTTCTATTACAGATATATGATATAGGAACTGGAAAATTATTAACAACTTTGACGCCATCAATTTCAAATCAATATACTAAGAATCGTGCAACTTTTAGTATGAATGATGAATTGGTTCTTAGTGATGGCATATTGTGGGACGTTAATTCAGGCAAGGAAATCCATAAATTCGATAAATTGAATCAAACGTTAAACGGAGTTTTTCATCCAAATGGAACCGAAGTTGTGTCTAATACTGAAGTATGGGATTTGAGAACGTTTCACTTACTTAAGACAATTTCTACTCTTGACGAAATGGAAGTGATTTTTTCGCCGGTCAACAATATTATATATGCAGTTGCGTTAGATGCACAAGAGGCTGAAAACGATTCTCATTATGTGACTTCTTTTAAGACTCTAGATGCTTTAGATTATAGCAATATTGGTAAGAGAAAAAGAAAAATCTATATTACAATTTATTAATGACAAAATTTTATTTTGTTCTATAAATAATTTATTTTCTTCGTGTATATACAATTTATAGCAACTTGCGATGTAAAAAGAGGAATTTATGGCCTTGCGTGTAACAAATTTGACACTCAGATTGCCATAGTGGAAAATATAGGAGACTTCTCAAGCATACAGGAATCATGTGTTAGATTATATGATGTTGGAAGACGAAGAGATGATGAAGATGAAGCTGATGAGGATGATGAAGAGGAAGATCTTGATGCTAGTGATGATGATGGTTCCAATTCTGCATCTGATGATAATAATCCAGATGGTAAAATTTGATATTGCATTATTTGTTATGATTTGCATCATAGTGTTCTATAAACTTTGTCCCATTATTACCAAATTTTTAAACTGAACTATACAGGGTGAATTAGGAGGAGAGGGAAATATTTTAGGAGTGTATGAGTTATTGTAAAAAAAAAAACAGTTTATATGAACATAATTATTATTCTCAACAGTTTCCTTCTCCTCTTGACTTATCCTGTATACAGGGTGTCTTAAAACTATCGTATCTCCTCTTAATGGCAGATTCCTTAGAACATTTCAAGACAACATTTTTATATTAGGATTCTCGTCTTGAAATGTTCTAAGGAATCTGCCATTAAGAGGAGATACGGTAGTTTTAGGACACCCTGTATATATGAACGAAGAAATGCATTTCATTTATAAAACTTCTTTTGTTAACAACTTTTTATATATAATAAATGACCGACGGCTAAAATCTTTCAAATATTATTCAAGGACAACCTTGATAACATATGTCAAGATCAAAGTATATTATATAATACATGTATATCGAAAAGAAGATCCAGGACCTATGACCTATCAAGGTTGTATCCCTGAGTACTATTCGAAAGATTTTAGCCGTCGGTCATTGTTCATTATATATAAAAAGTTGTTAACAAAAGCAGGTTTATAAATGGAATGCAATTTTTCGTCCTCTAGAAAATTGAAAATCCATGTGGAACTATATAATGATCCCACAGAAAACGTGTGGGCGGGGGAGGGGCAATCTCCACCCCAAAAGACTTAATCTAATCCAAATTTAATTTTACATATCTTATAAGTTAATTTTAAATTAGAAATAAGTTAGTTTTTTTCGGGGAGGGATGGGATAATGTCTCACAAAAAAGGCGTGGGCGGTTTTGCCCCCAAAAAAGCTAATTTAATTTCTAATTTAAAATTAATATTAATTATACGTAGGATTAAGTTTGGATTAAGTAATTTTTTGGGGGTTGGGGGCGCAGGGGGAAAGTCTCTCCCGCCCACACATTTCTTGTGGGATCATTATGTAGTTCCACATGAGTTCCCAATTTTTTAAAGAACAAAGAATTACATTCCATTTATAAAACTTCTTTTGTTAATAACTTTTTATACATATATATAATAAACAATGGCCGATATTCATAGTCAGTTCTTATATTTAAGATCGTCTTAAATGTGATCTTGGGTCATCTTAAGATCCTATTCAACCAATGAAATGACCGCCTAGCGTCTTAAGACCGTACTTATTAAGATGATCTTAAATATAAGAACGAACTATGAACACCGGCCAATGACCGACAATTAAAATCTTTTGAATGTTACTCAAAGACACAATCTTGATAATATATGTCAAAATCTAAGTCTTTGGTTAAGGTCTCCTTTTCGATATATTTACCATATGCATATATGTGTATATATACGGTTTGATCAAAAAGTATACGACCTTATTTTTTTTGCGTCAACCAGCTGCAGCCCGGTAACGGGATTAGCGCAATCTTGGATCCTACTGCACATGCATGATATTTTGCCAGACCGCGCAGCCCTTCAATCGCTACTAAGCAGCCATGATAGTTGCACATGTATTCAATGTCCGTCGCATTTCGTGTTTCCAACTAAAATGACAGAACGTGTTCAGCAAAGACTCAGAGTATCGATTTTGTAATTCAAGTGAGAGTGAAAATTACAAAAATGAGCGAATTTATTAGGTTTGGACCAACGAAATTATAAATTTTTTAGTAAATTCACTCATTTTTGTAATTTTCATCCTCATTTGTATTACAGAATTGATACTCTGCATTAAATTTGATCATTCAATTTTGTATCTTTTCAATTCTCTCTGATTGCGTATCACCGAGTTTTTGACAAAATTTAATGTAGATTCTTTGCTGAATACGTTCGATCATTTTAGCTGGAAACACGAAATGCGACGGACACTGAATATACGTGCAACTATCACGGCTGCCTAGCAGCGATTGAAGGATTGCGCGGTCTGGCAAAAAATCATGCATATGCAGTAGGGTTCAAAGTTACATGCTGCGCTAGCTAGTCCCGTTACCGGACTGGTTGACGCAAAAAAAATAAGGTTGAATACTTTTTGATCAGATCATATATAAACAAAAAGTTTCCCATAAACATGGGTTGAAAAATACTTTCTTAAAAGGTTAGCGCTCAAGAACCTCTGAAATCACGGTTATTTTTACAAATATCAGGGAAAATATACGTTTTTTAACAAAAAGTACCGAAACCAAAATTGTAAAGAATTGAATTATCTTTCAAATGAGATCAAAATGATTGTAGTACGTTTCATAGATTTTGAGATAACTAGTCTCAAATGTACAAAAAAATGTTTTTTTTTTTACGGTAGAGCTTTATAAAAATACAAAATACTCTTCATTTATGCTGTTATGGTCTTAGCTAATTTTTAATGTTTATCTTGCTTACTGGTTATTCCACTAAAAAAATTTTACTTTTCTGCATTGTTTAAATTAATCACCATAGGAGGATGAAAGGAAGAGCAGAAGATGAAAAGAAAATGAAATAAAAAGAAAATAAAACTCAATAAATTTCTTAGAAAAAATCAGTAAAAATAAAAAATAAAGATCTTTTTCTTTCATAAAAATGAAATAATAATTCTTTTTAAAATAGCACGGTAATAGTAGAAAATGAATAAAGACGTGAAAAAACTAACTGTTCTCAAAAAATTAGCTAAGGAAATAACAGCATAAATGAAGAATATTTTTAAAAAGCTCCACCGTCGATAGTTAAAAAAACACTTTTTTGTACATTTGAAACTAGTTATTTCAAAACCTATGGAACGTACTACAATCATTTTGATCTCATTTGAAAGGTGATTTAATTCTCTACAACTTTTATTTCGACAATTTATGTTAAAAAACGCATACTTTCCCTGATATTTGTAAAAATGTATAAAATAACCGTGATTTCAGAGTTTTTTGGGCGCTAACTTTTTAAGAAAGTATTTTTCGACCCATGTTTATGGGAAACATTTTGTCAAAATTAAATTTCCTATAAAATCTTAAAGTTGATCGAAACGTTTGGGATCACCTTGTATATATCGAGCATTCCAATCAAGTGAGCCAGCCACACGTTTTCTGTCAGGTAAGACACTTTTTATTTTGACCTAGCACGGCTTAAAATCTTGACATCCGTACTTTATAGCCCTCAAGTTACATGTTGTAATGGTTCGAAAATGGCGCCACGATCTTTCTGAAGATGTGGGACATGCGCTTGATTCTCCTACACGTTTCAGTTGATTTTTTTTACAGAATATCAACGGTACCCAGACAAATAATATTCCGCAAGTTTTATAAGTCATTTAAAGAATCAAAGTGATAAAGAGTCAAATGAGCTTTATAAACAAAATCCCAAAAATTCATAAAAAATTTAAAAAAAAAAAAATCTAAAATTTGGTCCAACCGACTTTTTCAAAATTTTGGATTCGCTATATTGAATCCGCTATTTTCAATTTTGGTATTCCGACATCATATTTGTGATCATGCAGAGTCTTTTTTCATCGGTAGAAAACTCTGAGAAATGATATCATATTGGTTTGGGTTATTTTATGAGTTATATATTGAATCCGCCATTTTGAATTTTATGATCTTAGCCTCATATTTACATTCAGGAACCATCAGTACTCCGATGGTGGCTTTTTTCACCGATAAACATCATTTATCTTGAAAATATTAACTGAAACGTGTAGGAGAATCAAACACGTGTCCCACATATTCAGAAAAATCGTGGCACCATCTTCGAACCGTTAGAGATTACAATTTGTAACTTGCGGGCTATAAAGTAGAAGAAAGATTTTAAGCCATGCTAGGTAAAAATAAAAAGTGTCTTACCTAACGGAAAAGGAATGGCTCACTTGACATGAAATGCTCGATATATATATGTAGATATCATATCGACATGTATTGTATATTTACAGAATGTCCCAAAGCACCCTAGACAATGCTCGTGAGCGGGTAGAGCACAGTAAACTGAACAGAAAAGTCCTGTATCATTTTGCAATTTTCGCAATAATTATTGAAATATTAATTAAAAAGGACTGGCGAATGAGTGCGCGTTTCGCGCGGTTAGACCGTGACACGTACGCTCTAGGCGTGCCAGCGGCGAGCTTCGCAGTGTCGCACAGTCGCACGGCAATGAGAAGTTTAGTCTCGCGCGTATCCCGACTCTCGTCGCGAGACCAAACTTTTCGTTGCCATGCGACACTGCGAAGCTTGCCGCTGGCACGCCTAGAGCGTACGTGTTACTGTCTAGCCGCGCGAAACGCGCACTCATTCGCCAATCTTTTTTAATTAATATTTCAATAATTATTGCGAAAATTGCAAAATGATAAAGGACTTTTCTGTTCAGTTTACTATGCTTTACCCGCTCACGAGCATTGTCTAAGGTGCTTTGGGAGTGTAGGGTGTCCGGTAAAGATTGTGCCAACGCTCGTGAGCGAGTAGAGCACAGTAAACTAAACAGAAAAGTCCTGTAACATTTTTTTCTATAATGCTTAATAAAGGAGTTATTATTGAGTAAAGTCTGGTCAATCAGCGTCGACTTCTAGCCGGACGCACGTCGGTGAGCTTGCCCGCCTGGTAGTGTGCGCCGCCGTAGCGACGGAGCGCTCACGCACACTTGTGTACACAGGGTGGGACATTTATAATGTTACAAAAAATGTTTTAGATAAAAATATTATATGATTTAAAAAAGGAAAAAGATAGGGATATTAGTATAACCTTGGATGTAGGTGCCAAGGTCATGTAAAAGTCAACCTTACTATTTTTAAATGGAATCTTCCTAATTTTCTTATATAAATCAATTTCTCGCAATATTCGACGTAAAAAGTTATAAGGGTAGAAAGGCCAAAAATTGAATCTTTACAAAATATTTTATATTTTAATTTGATATAATTTTACATAAACTATGAAATATCTCGTAAAATATTCATTTTTCAATTATCTTACCTCAATACTTTTATGCATAAAATAATGAGAGGAATCAATTTATATAAAAAAATTAGAATAATTTTATTTTAAAAAATTAGGTTGATCTTCACATGATCTTAAAAAATGACTTTAGTTAAAATTCAAGATAATCAACTTTTTTCTCCCTCAAAACCCCAAAAATTTTGTCTGAAACATTTTTTTATATGACGTCAAATTTCGGGTATAGAGATAAATCTTTTTTACAACACTTTAAATGCCCATCTTATATATAACATTTAAACTTGAGACCAGAATTTATTCACATATTTTTAAAGCAGATGGTGATAATGCAGATGCTGGTGCAGAAGACAATGGCGATGATAACGATCAGAATGACAGGGAAAATAATGACGATGACGGCGATGATGAAGATGGCGGAGATGGCGATGATTCTGGCGACGATAGTTACGATCCTAACGGCATTCACGATCTCTCCGATGATTTTTCTTTATCTGATGATGGACTAATGGACGGTTTCGAGATATTTTTTCGTGAATATCATTGATAACCCCTTGTGTATACACACACATACGCGCGCACACAATACATACACAAAATAAGTATTATAAACAAAATTTCATTACAATGTATCTCTCCCTCACACACAACACACACACACACACACACACACACACACATAACACACACCACATATACATTATTTGCACTCCTTAAATGTATAAATATTTTCAATTGATTTAATACTGTAATTTGAATACTTCTGTTCGTTTTACACGAGAATATAAATATGTGTCTGTACTTTTAAAATTACAGATGTGATTGATTGTAAATGATTATTGCCAGCTTTTTCTTTGATTATTGAATAAAAACCTGTTATATATTCTTTTCAATCAAATCTTAAATATCTGTCTGTGATGTCAAAATATTAACTGTATGACACATATATGAATGCTGTCCATCTTGTGTTTAAAGTAATGCGAATCGAGGTGAGCGATAAAATATTTGAATAGAATGACGTTTAAGATAACACGCGGCAAATTTACTTTTTAATTTTGCCATGGGTTTTGGAGACAAGAATAAAGAATATTGTAGAGAGCTTTGAGATAATATATTTATTTCTTATTAATATGGAGTTTTTCATCAACAATAACAGTGTAGCAGTAGGCGTAACAAGAGAGACGAGGTAGGTAGGTTACGAGGAACCTATCCTAATGTCGTACGCCAACAAGTCACCGCGATTGGAGGGGATCCTCGTTTTTTTTTCCTTTTTATTTAAGACTTTTTTTTATACGCCCTACGATGTTGATCATTATCATTGATAAGTCGTCGAGCGTTTATGCACAGAATATTCAATTTTCGAGCCCCATATGTGAGAGAAACGAAATGAGAAACACAATGTATCTCATTATTCACTCGCAGGCTGTCCATGAGTTGGTGCAGTCCAGCGTGACCGATTAAACGTGTCGCTTTGCAAGTATGTATGTAGTGTGAAAAACAATGAGTTACGCTCCATGGTAATCCATTTGCAATTATACAAATGGAGAAGCCATGCTCTATGTTAATTTCTTACATTTAATTATTCCATAAAATTCTAATGCGTTATATTATATGTTATAGCCATAGCCGATGCCTGCTTACAAAGTGACAAATCAAGAATATCGCATGCCGGAATAAAAACCAAAATATTTTTAATACCGACGGTGGTGTCTCAATCTCACGGTAAGATTTTTTAAATTTCTTTTTGCAATTCTACGACTAATATACAGAGTGAAGCAAATAAAATATTAAGCCAATAACTTTAAAAATATTTGTCGAATTAAAAAGTTGTTCATGAGAAAGTTCATATATTCGAAGGGTCTTTCTAACATTCGAACTCGTAAACCGTAAACATGAAGTCGTCCCCGCTCCCCCTTCAACAGAGGCGGGGGGTAACTTCCCAGATAGCCAAGTGTATGAGGTTGCTGTCATGTTGCCAACAATAATGCAGTTGTTGGCAACATTAGGCAACATTGCAGCAAACAACTGTAGTATTATTGTTGGCAACATGACAGCAATATGCAATAATCAATATGATTTAATCACGCTTGGTTATTTGGGTTCATAATTTCAAATGGAACCCCCTATAAAATGTTACATATTTGGATTCTAAAAACGGCAAAAAACAAGTAAATTTTATTTGAAATATTTGTTTGAAAAATGCTTTTATCAAAAGTTATATATAAGCATTTAAATTTTAAAATAGAGCGCATGCAAACTAATGATAAAACCATAAATTAAATGAAAGACCATAGTTTTCCTGTTTTTTTACTTTATTAAATGTTTGAACTATTATCCATTTTCATCTAAAAACTTATTAATTCTTTCTACGAAGTTTAGCATAACCCCAGAAATGTTGTTTAGATAATGAGTTAGACAAAATTTTGCAGAAAGAATTAATAAATGTTTAGATTAGAGAATGGACAACAGTTCAAACATTTAATAAAGTAAAAAAACAGAAAAACTATAATTTTTCATTTAATTTATGGTTTTATCATTAGTTTGAATGCGCTCTATTTTAAAATTTAAATGCTTATATATAACTTTTGATAAAAGCATTTTTCAATCAAATGTTTAGGATAAAATTTACTTGTTTTTTTGCCGTAGAATCCAAATATGTAACATTCTAAGGGGATTCCATTTGAAATTATAAAGTCCCCCCCCCCCCCCCCCCCCCACAAAAAGGAA